CAAAGTATCTTTTAACAGATTTTCCGAAATGTTTCCCACAACTGATGTAAGACTAATGGGTATATAATTACTGGGACAATTTTTATCACCTCCCTTGAAAAGAGGAGTTACATTAGCTAACTTCCAATCCTCTGGTACCTTCCAACTATTCAAGGACTGACAAAAAATTGTACTAAGTGACTCTCATATCCAAACTTTAACCTCCTTCAAAACCCGTGGGGAAATATCTGGCCCAGGAGTCTTATCGTTTTATAAACTTCCCAATTTTTTTCTTAACCAGCTCTGAATTAATGCGGTCATCTTGTTTGATCTCGTTTCCATTTATCAACTGATCAAGATGTGAAATACTGCTTAAATCTTTGTTAGTAAAAAACAAAGAAAAAGCAAAATTTAATAACCCAGCCATCTCATACTCATCAGATACTAGCCTTCCTTTATCATCCCTCAAGGGTACTACCCCATTTAGTTTACCTTTAATGTGTTTGAAGAAATCCTTACTCTTAATTTTTACATTTTCAACCAATCTTTTCTCATACATCCTTTTTGATGTCCTAATTTCCTGTTTCACCAACTTTCTTGATCTTCTATAATCTTTGAAATCTCCTGTCATACCAGTCAATTTAAATTTCTCAAATTTATGATGCTTTGCTTTAATTTTATCTTTTAAACTCTTTATGAGCCAACCTGGTTTTTCACTTGCAGCTACCCTTTTCTTTCTATGAGGAATATGTTTACTTTGAGTATTTAAAATTTATCTTTAATTATTTTCCACATCTGATCAGTGTCTCCAAGTAACTCAGCTGCCCAATTCACAACAGATAATTCTTGTCGCATCCCTTCAAAATGTTATTATTCTTTATCTCCATATGCAGCAAAACATCAAACCTAACAGAGCAATGAACACTTGCACCCCGCACCCTGATGTTCCCCAATTTCCACCCTCTCGATCATTTCTATATTTGATGTAAACAATAAATATAAAATAGCATTATTTCTAGTAGGTTCCTTGACTAATTGGTGGAGAAAGCCATCCAGAATAGTTTCCAAAAACCTTTCTACCTCATGGTTTGACTATAGAATTTTCTAATCCATATGCCTGAAACTAAAAATCACCCATAATTATGACTTCATTAACAGCTGAAATCTTAATCTCATTGTAAAGTCTCTCAATAATTTCATCAGTTTCATTTGGTGGTCTGTAACAAAATCCCACTAAAAGCCTTTTCCCTTTATATCCACTAATAGAAACTCAAATGGATTCAATCTCCTTGCTATTATCTTTGATATCCTCAACTTCAACAGGATGTAACTCGTATTTTACATATAAAGCCACTCCTACACCCCTTATTAATACTCTATCCCTATTAAATAGCCTGTAACCCTGTATTTCAAAGAAATTTCTGTCATCAAAATCATCTATGTTTCAGTTATTTCTATTATATCAAAATCCTCCATTTCTACTAGTGCTCTAAATTCATCTACTTTATTTCTTATACTTCTAACATTACAATAGTAACAATTAAGCCTATCATTATAACTACTTCTATACTCATTTCCTATGCTAAACTTTTCTCTGCCTCTTATTCCTTATGCATTTCATTTTTCCTTGCCCTCACCACAGTATAGTCCTAGTTTCAAACTTCCCTTACAGCTGAGTTAATAGCCTTAGCAAACAAGCCAGCCCCTACCCTATTTAAATGTAAGCCATCCATTCCAAAAAGCTCCCTTTTTCCCCTGAACTGATCCCACAAGTCCAACCAGCTAATCTGTTCGTCCTTACATACTAACTTAAGCCTAGCATTTAGCC